CCCTTTCCCTTTCCCTTTCCCTTTCCCTTTCCCTTTCCCTTTCCCTTCTTACCTTCTCTTCCCCTCTCTTCCCCTTCCCCTTTCCTTCTTTCCCCTTCCCCTTCCACTTCCTTCCCTCCATCCCCTCTCCCTCCCTCACTCCCCGCTCCCCCCCAAGCCCTGCCCACCCCTCTCCCTCTGGCCCCGTTCCGCCTTTCCTCCCGCACGCGGCTCAACGCTCTGTGCCGCTCTCGGCCCCCGCCCAGCTGTGCGGTGCAGACGGGATGCGGGTGGGATATTAAAGCAGCTTCTGAATGGTGATTGAGGTTCTATGGGAACCCCGGCAGATGACAGGATCTCAATTTGGTATTCTTATTGTTAATGGCGAGCAGCAGCGGAGATCGGATTCAGACACATTTTGTGCTACTTAAAAATTCCTGCGTAGGGGCCGAGATTTTTGTTTCCTTTCGGCCGGCCTCAATTGGAGGCGCAGATCGCGGCACGGCGCATTCAGCGGCCGTCTGAAGCCGCCTTTTAACCGGGCTCTCCCCCCGCAGCCCCCGGCGCATCTCTCGGTTCTTTCGGTTGACATGGTGCAAATAAAAGTCAGTCAACTTGTTGCTGAATTGCAATGTTTCGGTGTACCTTATAAATTCATACCTTTTCTCCCTCGATCGCCTCAGAATGAGCCCCTGACTCAATTCGATTTTCCTTGCTGCTGGGCACATTTAGGAGAGGGTCTATTTGTGAAGTTCATTTCTAGGCAAATGTATTCAAGAGCTGATTGGGATGAATAGGACCGTGTGTCAGCCGCCCCTAATTGGGATTAAAGCACTTCGGACCATATGCAGAGAGTGACAGAAATTCTCAGGTTTCATTGTGCTCAGACTTCCACCCGCCTGGACACTGCTACGGGAAAAGCAGCGTTTGTGAGGGCTGCAGGGAGGAACGGGGAAGGGAAGGGAAGGGAAGGGAAGGGAAGGGAAGGGAAGGGAAGGACCCTACACCATGCACTGAAGTTCTAAACTCAGAGATGTCAGGGCCTATGCCCACTCCCCCTCAGCTCCACACGAGTGACCCTGCTCCTATGTGCCCCATGCTGGCTGCAGCCCCAGAAGAAGCAGCAGTGAGCGTTTATGAACAGCCCGCTGTGGGTGCCTTGGATGCGGCATAGCTGCATTCAGCATCACTCGGGTTAACGACTTAAAGACTCTGCCGTCACTTATAAAAAAATTTATATCCTTAATCC